TTTTAAATTGTTTCCTGACAGTTTATTGCTTGAGGAGAGGGCTGTGGCCACAATATTTCTTTTTCTTTCTCTTCTTATTTTATCTAATTAAATGTTAGTAAGATTCTTTCCATATCCTTGAATTTTGGTAACTTCACCCGGATATGCTTTGCTGTTTTTTTGTTCTTTATCAGTTCATTATTGATGAAGCTTTGCCCTTCTAGGTTACAACTGAAAATTTTATTTCATTCAAAGGAACTATTTTATCTTTAAATATCATTCATGTCTCATTTGTACTTTTCTATTTAATAATGTAATTATGTATATATTGGTCCTTCTTCATCATAGTTATTCTTATTTAATCTAGTTTCTCTTGATTTTTAAAATTTTTTGTGTGACACTTTTCCCTCAAATCTGTCATCATAGTTGATTTTATAGGTAATCAACTTCTCTTTGCTTCTAATGTGTATTTCATTTCAGCAATGATCTTGTAATCTATAATTTCTGTGAGCATTGCTGTATACAATTATTTTATGTCATTCTTTTATCTTTTCTGTGAATATATTTTTAATTTTAATGATTTGGTATTTTTTCCCTGAGATTTCTTTTTTATGGAGCAATTTCCCTATATTTTTCCCCAGGGGACTTTGACTTTTATTTCCTCTTTTTTGTTACACATGGGAATAGATACATTAAATTCTTTATGATTGTTACTCACATACAAATGGGAGCAGTTTTATTCATCCCCATTTTTAAGACATAAGCTGAGTCAGCTTCAATTTAAAAATGTAGTTTAGAAAATATTCCCCTCTGATCTTATCCACCCTAGGGAGGATTTACTACTCAGTTTTTAATGTTCACATTTTCTAATGATTCATTTTCTATGTAGGAGGTCATTTTGCCTATGGTAAGCTTATAAGGAATTCCCAACCCTGATCCCTAAAACCAGTGAATGTTTCAGAAAAACGACTTTGCAGATGAAATAAAGGATGTTTAGATTAGGACACCTTACTTGACTATGAAGGCACTTAGGTGGGTATGAAGTGCCTTCCTACAGCCTGATAAAGGGAATGCCAAGGGAAATTTTACATACACACACATGAAGGTGTATGACAATCAAAGCAGAGACTGGTGTTGTGCAGCTACATGCCAAGGAATGCTTGCAGCACCTGAAGCTGAAAGAGGAAAGGAGTAGATTTTCTCCTAAAACCTCTAGAGGGAGTACGATTTTGTTAATACTTGGATTTCAGGGTTCTGGACTTCAGAACTGTGAGAAAACTTTTGTTGTCTTAAGTTACACATTTTGTGGCAACTTATTGTACCACCCACAAGAAACTAACACAATTCTCTACCTAGAAATTACTTCTTTTGGTGACTTAATGCTCATATTTCTCTGATCAGCTGACTTGGAAGGCTGATGGCAAGTGTCTTTCTCTTCTGCCCCTCTTACCTTTAGTTTTCTTCTTGTGGATAATAGATAAAAGATAGTGTATGTGTAGAAGTCCCATTTCTTGACTTTGGCTACGGTGATTTTACCTGCTTCACCTATAATTAACTTTCTTTGTGGCTCTTAAAAAAATAGAATGTTCATAACTCAATTACTTTTATGAAAACTTCTAGTTTGCTAGAGATCAAGGTAAACTAATTTAAAAATCTTTTTTTATACTTTAAGTTCTGGGGTACATGTGCAGATCTTTCAGGAAAAATTTTTTATACTGGTAAAATTTAGTAAATTATATGCATATTGTTTACACCAAAAAAAAGGTCTCACAATGCCCTGTTTGTCTTGGAGGCAGAAATTATGAATATAGATATTTGAAATCTATAACTACTGCAAGTATTGTAGCTGCATTCCCTAATATCTCCTATCTAAACTGCCATTGAAAAAAACTAGCTATCTACAACAGGGGTTGGAAGACTGCAGCTGGTGGGCCAAATTTGGACCACTGCCTGCTTTGGCAAATGTTTGATTGGAACACAGCTCCACTCAGTAATTTACATACTGTCTATGGCTGCTTTTCTTCAACAGCAGAAGTGAGTAACTGTGAAAGAGACCCTCTACCCTATGAAGCCTGTAGTATTCATTATCTGATCCTTTACAAAAAAAAGTTTGCTGACCCCTGATCTACAAAAAGAAAACAAAAGGAAATGTGATAGAAAGTGTACAAAGATTCTTTTCTTGGTCCTTTGAGCTCCCATATTTTTGTCCAGGTTTGCAGAAAGTTTATTATTTATTAATTTTTAATGGAATATTACAGACAGTTTCTAAATATCTTGGATGGAAATATATTTGTATTGAATTAAATTATGAGAAAAAATGAGTGTAGCTGAAATGTGCAAATGTATCTGGGATCCTAATGAATAAATTCTGAAATATCAGTCACAAAATATTTCTCTACCAAAAATATAAATGACTCAAATACAAGCATGTATCTGAGAATTTCTTTACGTGACTGTCTTTTTAACAAAAAAAGAAAAAAGTCCTATTTCAGTTGGAAGATATTACTTTCCTAAAATTAATTATAGAATTGTTTATAAAAATATCAATGGGATGACAAAATAAATTTGTTGTTTTAGGAAGCAGTGCATTCATTTTTTACTCTTAATAAATTTGTAATTTATTTTTCGGCATGCAAAAAAAAAAAAAAAAAGCAAAATCCATATATTACTAGAGAGCCATGAATCACATGCAAAGTTTATGAGAGCAAAACAAAACACCAAAACAATCCCAAAACATAGGTATCAGATTTATGTCTCTAGCACTGAAATAAAAGGCAACTTCAGGTTGCGTGGATGGATTTCTATGTCAATCTCGTATCAAAACTCAGAAATGCCTAGGTTGCTAATATATACTTGGATATATTTAACATAGCTGAAGACGTTATCACAAATTACAATTAGAGAAAAATATAAGAATTGAGTGTTTAAAATATGTGTAATGTCTGATAAATGAGACTATTTACCTATGTGTTAGTAAGAATACATCATTCTTTGAAAAGTTGCAAAAGTCCAACTCAAACTGCTTTATCAATAACAATAAAAGGAATTTACTGATGTGTACTAACTATAAAATACTAGAATTTAGATGATATTATCAGAATTTGGATTTCCTCCAAACCTGTCTTGTCTTTTCTCTGTGTTAGCTTCATTATGCCCAGTTAGGGTCCTTGGTCACTGTGGCCTCCTAGCTCCACAGTATAAGAAAGTTTATCTTCCCCAGTACTTCCAAAAAAGGTTGCCAGATAACTATAATTCTATCTAATTCCCAAATTAAAACAATTAAAATGCTTAGTATGGTTAAAGCCCAATAAATTGTATTGCTCATAGAGTATAAAATAATAAAACTATATAAGAGGGCAATTTATTGATATTTAGAGGCAGGCATTAACTATGAGAGACATGAATAAACAATTTGAGGTCAAATAGTACATTTAAATTTAAGAATCTGTGGCCAAAATACTTATTTCTGGAATATAACAGAAGGAAATAATGAGAATAGGAACATTTTATCAAGAAGTTAAAACCTTATTTATAATTTCAAAACCTGGAAACCAGTAAAACATTCAGCAATATTAACACTTAAAACTGGGTGTACTGGTGCGTGCCTGTAGTCCCAGCTACGCAGGAGGCAGGAGGATTGCTTGAGCCCAGGATTCTGAGGCCAGGCTGGGCAACATAGCAAGACACTGCCTCTACTGAACAATAAATACCACTCAAAGGTGTGGCATATGCTTTGAAAATTAGTATGTCATTAAATAATTTAGCTAATTCTTATTTTACCATGACACATATATCCTTACTTTTTTACCAAGTTCTCTGGCATCTTTCATCATTCCCCCTTCCTTGCTTATAATTACTGTATTAAGTTGATCAAATGGTTTTTTGGAGATTGTTTTGTATTTAATAGTAGAGTATGTTAAAAGAGACTTTCCCCTTTAAGTTTATGAAGTGCTTTTCCAACATCTTTCCCCTTGCCCAGAGCACTTTTCACCGGTGAGCTCTGTGATGTTTGTATTGCTTTTTCTCTTCACTGATCATCAGTTAAGAAAACAACTGTCTAGAAGCAGTGTTTGCCAGCAGAAGTAGCCCATAAATTTTTCTTGATCTCAATCTCACTTCATTTGTATGGTGTTCTTTTTGTAGATAAAATACCAATTAAATTCCCTCATCCAAATCTTCATCTTTAACTAGATTTCATCAGTTTTGTCCCTACTCAGGTGGCATTTTACTTCTGTCATGATTTTCTTCTGTTATAGACAGATACAGTATGCAAGAGACTACAATTCCTAGCACACTCTGCTCTCAAAGTCTTCATGGGGCAGCACTTATCTAAAGAAAGTCATGTGTTGCTGGTGTCTACGTTTCTTAGATTTTCCTGAACTACACACCAGGTCCTCTCACCAATTCAAACTTCTGAGTAATTCTGTTTTTGTTTTAATCTGAAGTCTCTGCCTGCAGCATTTCTTTCAGGGAAGGCTGAGAAAAAAATAGTGTAAAGAACATACCATCTTTTTCACCAAATAGCTATTGAGAGCTAAGAAGAAATACTTAGTGTCCCTAAATCAGAATTTGCTTCCCAGTCTTGCACACTATTTCTAGGTCATCTCTGTGAATTATTCTGTTTTTACTGTGAAATAAGCCCCTCAATATATCAGTGACTTAGAGCAGTATCATTCATTTTTCTTCCTCCTTGAGCTGTTGGTCATCTGGAGAGAATTTGCTTCCGTGTCCTCCATGTGTCTCCTCCCCTTTGTAGACATGCCACCCTTGGGTAGAGCGGTATGAGTGAAAAAGGAGAAACTGTAAACACTGTATGTGCTGTAGTTTGAATGTTCATCCCCTCAAACATTATGCTGAAATTTGATTCCTAGTGTTGGAGGTGAGGCCTAATGGGAGGTGTTTGAGTCATGGGGGCAGATCCTTCATGAATGGCTTGGCGTTGTACTCACAATAATGAGTTCTCACTATATTGTTTCCATGAGATCTGTTTTTTTAGAAAAAGTTTGGCACCTCCCCTCTCACTGTTTTGCTTCCTCTTTCCCCATGTAATCTCTCCCATTTGGGCTTTGCTTCACCTTTCACCATGAGTAGAAGCCCTCACCAGAAGCAGATATAGTCCCATGATTCTTGTACAGCCAAATAAACTTCTTATTCTTTATTGATTACTCAGCTTTAGGAATTCCTTTAGAGCAACACAAATGGATGAAGACAATGTGCTTCTTAAAATCTTGGTTTGGAAGTACTACAGTGTCCCATCTGTTCATATTCCTTTGGCCAAAGCAAGTTACATTGCCAAGTTTGAGTTAAATCGGGCAAGAAAACATATTTGTTCACTCTCATAAGAACTACCTACTGCAAAGTCAAACAAGACAGTGTCTCACTTAACTTTATTATAGAAAAGGAGTTAAGAATTGGCTTTAAAAATGGTAACATCTACACATTCATGAGGCAAACTCAAGGTTCATCTTTTGTTGAAATATAAACAGATTTTAGTAACAAGTTTGATCTGCTTTATAATTCATGTCAATTCCTTCTATACTCTCATTATGTCAATCTGCACTTTTTGTGCTGTAAGTTTTGATTTTCTTTGTGTCTTCAATAACATGTTACTGAAAAATTGAATGAGATTGTGTTGGAGCTTGTTAAACAGTCATCAGCTTGAACCAATAACCTGTATGCTGCTTTGTTTTTTAAACTAGAACTGATATAGACCTCTGTATAAGAAGATAAAAATGATTTTCAAGTTAGGTGTTAAAATCCATAATGTCTAACCCTACTGACAGTACAAATAAATTGTGTGAACTGAGATAAGCTTGAATCTTCTTTCAGCTTCAGTAGTCTTATCTGTAAAGAGAAAGAATTGCAGTTATTGTATTCAAACAACATAGACTGGCATATTCCTCAATAGTGTAGTTCACAAAATACTTTTATATTCTCCAATTATTTTAATCACACAAAAAACATTTTCTTCTTTCCAGACTACAGCTTGAAAAAAAATTTCATTGGTCACTTTAGTAATTAAAATGTAGTTCAGTACATTTTAAAATTCTAATCTCTAATCTGATTTAATATCATCCTCTCTGACTAGGAGAGGCAGAATGGAATTTTCTCAGATACGTCTTGAAAAAGGTATGGGTTTAACAAAGTTTGCATTTGTCAAAATCCAGCAAATGGACATTTATAATTTGAGCCTTTTTCTATATGTAAATTTTACCTTAAAAGGGCTACAGTTTTGGATTAGGAGATTTGCTTTTGAAGGATGGCAGAATATGCCACCCGAAAAAATGTCACTTTGACATAGTTACTACAAAGTAAAGGCAACCTGAAAAACAGCAGATGCAAGGAGAGCATTCTAATTGTCCCTTTTCTTCCTAAAACAGAAGATAAAAATTCCTTTGTGAAAGATGCCTTCCTTGTTCCAGGAGAAAGGAAACATTCTTCTATCAGAACTTATAGCAGAGAAAATTCTGTACAGACAGACCTTGTTAAAATAATTATCTTCCTTTGGCTCCAGTATAATTTATTTACTTTTCCATAACTACCTTTCTTTTTACAACATAACACAAAGCACATAGATTTAGCAACTTCTTTGGGTCCCCATTTTCCTGTGAAGGCTCCAGTGTCTCAAAAGGACATTAAATTTGTATTATTTTCTCCTGTTAATCAGTCAAGTGTCAGTTTACTTCTCTAGGCCAGCCAGGACTCTAAGAGGGTGAATGTGATTTTGAAAACTGGAGGGAGCCAAAGTGGCATGATATATCAATTTTCCAAACTACATTTGTATTATATTCAGCAAATAAATATACTAAAACTAAGGAGAGATGGGGAGAACATATTTGAATACTTCATAGCTTTGTCCACTGAAGGGGCATATCAGTAATGATAAGCCCAGAATCCAAATCTGGGTTTCTAAAAGACATTCCCCACTAAGGGGAAAAAAGGACTCTTGGAAAAAAGACTCATTGTAAGTATAGGGAAAGCAGCCAAAGAATGTTAAGAACACATAAAAAGTACAGGGATGTCAGCCTGAAGTTACTCAGATTACCAAAGATCTTCTGAACATCAAAACGGTACCAGTAAAGAGGTAAACTCATTGAATGAAACAAGGACCTCAAAGCCATGCAGATACATATAAATAAGAGTTGTTCCTTGCATTAGAATACCTAACAACAACCATAGAAGAAATGGAGTTATCAATGAATGTTAAAGTGACTGAAGGCACAAATGGGATATGGAATACCATATTTACAGAGTTTCAAAGTTTCTCTACACACATTATTTAGTAGTAATTTCACGGGAGGAAAATGTTGTAGATAACATTTAACCACCTAATCAAATTAATATCACCAATATTATGACAAATTATCACGTGCTTCTTCTATGATGCCTTCCACAGGACACATGATCTCTTCTGTGATCTTCATGCCAAAATATGTAATAGTTGAAAGTATTTATGAGTAAACATCAAATCTATATTAAGGGGTATTCTACAATATATCTAATTGAAATTTATAGTAAATATAGATATATATATTTAAAGAATTCTGACAAACTATTCCAGATTAAAGGAATACAACAAATAAATGCAGTGTGTGATCTTATATTAGATCCTCTATTGGGAAAATGAAAATAAAACTAAGGGCATTATTAAGACAAACAATGACACTGTAATATGGACAGTGAATGATAATATTGTACCAATGTTAATTGCCTGATTTTGGTAACTATACAGTTACACAAGAGAATATTTTTGTTCTGATTGTTACTGAAACACGAGGGGTTTGGTCTTGGTCCTGTTGCTCTCCACACAGAAAGCCAGTCACTGAGATGACAAGTATTGCCAAGGAAAAGGCTTTAATCAGGTGCTGTAGCAAAGGAGATGGGAGCTCAAATCTTAAATCCAACTCCCTGACAGTCTAAAACTAGGGTTTATATAGCAGGGAAGAAATGTAATAGTGTAAGAAAACAGGAACTTAGGAAGAGCAAGGAAGCATTCATGACGAATGAGGGGTAAAGCATTTCACTCTCATGATGTGGTGAACTGGTGAGTTTCAATTCTTTCATACTTTTTTGAGAGGCCTGAAAGTTCTTTCCTGAGGAACTTATAGAAAACAAATGTAACTTTCAACCTTTAACAACAGAAGGGTCGATTTCTATCTTTATCCAAAAACTGTCTATGAGACTCTTGGGTCCATTTCATTAAAAAATACAAACTGAAGGATTTAGTAACAAAAGAGGAAATCTCCAATTCACACACACACACACACACACACACACACACACACACACACACAGATCTATACATTTATTCCTTTCTCCATCTTCAGCAAAATCTCTCTGCCTTAAGGGACCTGAAGTAGGAACAAAAGCATGATCTATACTTTCGTTCGTTCTTTTCTCTGCAACTGGCAAGAAATAGTCAGAATGAAGGATAGGGTTAATGGTTGAGTGTGGCAACTCTCACTGTACAGCCTCTTAATAAATCCTGAAGGAAAAAAATGTCTCTAATTATTTGTTGTGGTATTTAGAATAACTCTGTTTCCACCTGGAGACTTACTAAGAAAAATCCTATTTAGGACTCTGTGATATTAGCTTTTATCTCTAACATTCAAACATGAAATTGTATTCTGGTGGGTAAAATGCAGAATCTTTAAAATGTAAAACTGACTATATGCCCTGACCCTAATGTAAATGTCATTCCACACTCTTAAATGTGGATGATAAAACTGTAATCCTTGGAACTAGAAATTTGTCATGACATCTAAGTTATATAACTTTAAAAACACTAAATCACTTGAAAATTATTTAAACTCTATCAATATATATCTAAGCTTTATTTTTAAAAACATACGTAGGTCTGATATCTCTGAGCCAATTCACTTTGCTGCTAGAAATCTTCAAGGGTATAAATCCAAGTTTGTGCTGCTCTACAGACCAGTTAAATTTCCCAGATACTCTTATGTTCCTTGGAGAGCTATTCTCTAGAAAGTATTGCCAAGGAGGAAGAAAACTTAAGGAGTTGCTGAAGTGTGGTGTCAGAGACCTCTAGATAAACAAGAAAAACACAGATTTATAGAGTAACTGTGGAAAGAGAATATGTGGGTGTGAAAAACAAAATTGGCTCCTGAGGTTTTACTACAAATACATGCCACTGATTTTTCTAGAGAGGAGGCAGAAAATTGACTGATGACAGTAAAATGAGTGCAGATTGAAAGAAGAGAACGTGTAAGAGACCAAAATGACCCCCACATTTAACTTAATCTCATTCATAATGTTTATATAGCTGTGAACCAGCCAACCACTTACCAACTTCATTTTCCTTTTGTAACCAGATAATATGTGTCATATACACATAGAATTAGAATAGGTGACTTTAAGGAGAAACAAACATTACAGTCATTAAGTTTGGCTTATTTATCAAGAATACAAAGTAATGTTTCTCTGAAATTGTTATGCAATCATCCCGTACATAATAAACAACAGCTACCATTAAGACAAAATATCCTAGAGAAACACATTAAGCATTGAGCCAACCAAACTATATTTTACTTTGAACTCTGCCATCCATAAATCCAAGACCACAGTTCTGTGTTTTGATATCCTTATTTGTAAAATGAGAAAATTTTAGGATTATTGCTATAATTTTCAACAATTCTGGTTGATTCCAAATTCTGATTCCAAATTTATCTTTTAAAATATATTTTATATATTTGATATCTAAACTATGGATTCCAAATATATATAGAAAAGTATCTTTAAAAGGATTATATCAATGTTACAATTTTTATTTTGATAATTTTTCTATGATTAAGATAATGTCCTTGTTAAGAGTTATGAAACATCAGAGTTGAAGAAACATGTTAGCTCCAACTTACTTTCAAGTTCTTCAGAAATATATATATATACACACACACACATATATGTATACATATATATACACATAAGCACACAATGAGAAAGAGCAAAACATAAGCAACTGGGAAATCTGAGTAAGGAGTACACCACAGTGCTTTGTACTGCTATTTTTCTAAGTTTAAAGTATATCAAAACTAAAAATTACATGTTGGTGTTGATTGTATAATTATTTACAGTAGCCAAAGTATCAAAATAATGTAACAAATAGATAAAATGTAGTGTGTCTGTACACATACTCACTCACACACACAATGGACCATTATTCAGCCTTAAACAAAAAGGAAATTCTGCTATTTGTTACCACTTATATTAACTTGGAGGACATTATGATAGGTAAAATAAACCACAGAAAAGCTGCATGATTTTACTTCTATGTGGAATTTAAGATAGTCAAACTTATAGAAGCAAATAATAGAATGGTGATTGCCAGAAGAAGGGGAGATGTTGGTCAAAGGTAAAGGAGTTAAAAATATTTCACTATGACATACTATTGTGAATTAAAGGCACTTGAAGAATAGCAGAAGATAGGTTATTCTGCTCTTCCTTCTGTTTCTTAAAAGCAAATAAGAAAGGGATTCCCTCTATACTAGAAGAAAAGTGATATTTTTATCATCAAGGATGGAAAGTTGAGACCAAGAGTATTCTGTACAGATCTTAAAATAACTCATCTTTTAAGCCTCCCCACATAATTTATTTGCTCTTTCACAACTTACTATTCTTTGTTCAATTTAATATGTAAGTGACTACATCTTTATTTTATGAAGGCTCTTGTGTCACATAAAACTTGCAAATACGTTTGAATGCTTTTCTTCTTTTGATCTGTCATGTCAATTTAATTCTCAAGCTAAGCTAAAATGAAACTGTAAAAGGAAAGATGTAAAATTCTGCCTTGCTCTCCTACAAATGTTGCCAAATTTCAGCTGTGTAAG